GGCATTTGGTCTGGAATATCGTAAATGTAAATAAAGCCACTCCGTTGTAAATACGTATTAAAAAACACCTGTTATGGTTATTCAAAGGTGTTATTAATAATTAGTGAGAATTATTCATTATATTAAAGTTCGGGGACGTCTAACACAGAGCAACCAGATCTACGTCGATTTAATCCATTTGCAATGGACTTTCCAATATCCTAAACGTATCAAAAAGTCTAAATTGCGACCAATCAGAGGTGCCCACAACTGTGTAACGAACAGGGACCCCGTCAACAAATCCACAAGGGCCGTGACGAGGTTTCGAACCTGCGTCCGGGAGCATCCCAGACACTGCCTTAATTGACTGAGCTACGACAGGGTAAAAAGAGTTGAAACCGTTGTTGTTGTGTGGTTAGGGACCCTCGTCAGTTTTGAGCCTCGACACACTCAGATCAACGGCCGAGAGCTGGAGTCCCCCCCTACACCAGGAGACAGACGAGAGACGTATGGCCGAGTAGGTCTTACTAAGTCCTCCTTGCTGGCGAGTGCGTCTAATTACGCCTCAGACGACGACATAACATCCTGTACAGGCGACGAGTCACAATAACGTGGCTAAATTATGTTAACCAGACCACACACTAGAAGGTGAAGGGACGACGACGTTTTGGTCCGTCCTGGATCATTCTCAAGTCGATCCTCATCACAATCGACTTGAGAATGGTCCAGGACGGACCGAAACGTCGTCGTCCCTTCACCTTCTAGTGTGTGTGGTCTGGTCAACATGACATCCTCCTTGCGACGACATGACGACCTCCTGGCAACGACGTGACATCCTGGTGGCGTAATCACATCTCGAGCGACGACGACATTACCTCTCGCTGCGTCACGAAGCAAGACGACCGATCTGGTAAGATTCACGTTGTCTCAAGAATTCTAAATGTAAATTAAACAAAGAAAACACACAAACAACAGGTGTTTTTTGGGATGTTCGTCCTGAGAAATATTTGATGACAACGGAAACGAGTTTTGTCAAAAAGTTTGTTGACATGTAAACACGAAAGTGAAGGAAGTTGGCTGAACCTCAGCGGAGAGGTTACACTGGGGATGGGAGTGGAGGGTAAGTGGGAGAGTGGGGATGGGAGGGGAGGGTAGGAAAGGGAGGGTGAGGGGAGAGAGATGGGGTCCAATACTGCACCGAGCTGAAATAAGAAGACAGGAATGGGAAATAAGAAGACAGGAATAGGAAATAAGAAGGCAGGAATGAGAAAGAAGAAGGCAGGAATGAGAAAGAAGAAGGCAGGAATGGGAAAGAAGCCATGAATGGAAAAGAAGAAGGCAGAAATGGCAAAGAAGACAAGAATTTGAAAGAAGAAGGAAATAGTAATCTGAAACCATATATATAGAAATGAGACAGGAATGGAAATAGTAATGCGGATGTGTCGGATGATGTATGGAGAGCGGCAGCATCCATCAGCAAGACCAACCAGGCGACTGTCATACACCAGATGCTGTAGAGACGGGTGATGTAACACCCGTGATGAAGGGTGTAGGGGGCCTGGATGAGTATGTTCCCTTCATCACCGGCTTCCCAACCCTTCACCTCTTTCAGGCGTGGGTTCAGACCGTCATTCTTCTGACCAGGAAACGCTGCCCTACGCAGGCTACACAAGAACCATAGAGGCCAGCAGGTCGCCACACAGCCAAGAATCCCTATCTCACCCTCCCGCCATTTTCTCGTCATCAAAACACTCATGCCGTCATCCAAAGCAGGTGACACACTTTAGGAGCTCGTCAGTCAGGACTCTCAGTGTTTTGAGTCAATATCAATGTAAATTTCTACGTACATACTTATCTCATACTATGTGGATATTAGATACATACTAAGCTCAACCAGTGTAGCTTCTGTAGCGAGTCAGAAATGCCTAGTCTGGCCCCATACAACTTTAGCTTGGAAACTGAAGCACTGTTTTTAAAATGGGTTAATTAATTTTCAGCGGTTCTTATTGAGAGTTATCATGTGTTCTATGAATGTCATTGCGTTCACTGTGGGTGCTATTGCGTTCACTCTGGATGGTATAGCGTTAACTGTGAGCATTTGGTAATAGCGTGTAGTGAAAACTGTGGATAGTGATGCTAGCTCCCTGTGGTGACGGTGAAGGACTGGAAATAGTGTGCGGGTGTTAATACGTAATATAATACGTAATTATAATAAGTAATATAAAACACGAATTAATACAGTTTCGTTTCTAGGCTGCTTTTTGGGCCACTGAGGTTAAAAAATTTAATAAAATCTAGAACTGCAGCTTCAGGGTTAATAACCTTCCAGAGGTTGAGAGGTCTTATTAACTCTAGAGGTTAATATGCCTTATTTAATCTCCAGATGTTGAGAGGACTTAATAACCATTCCGAAGTTTATAATACTTATTAACCCTCCAGAGGTTTAATGGCCTTAATAACCCTCCAGATGCTGATAGGCCTTAATAACCCTCCAAATGTTGATAGGTCCTAATAACCCTCCAGATGTTGATAGGCCTAATAACCCTCCAGATGTTGATAGGCCTAATAACCCTCCAGATGTTGATAGGCCTAATAACTCTCCAAATGTTGATAGGCCTTAATAACCCTCCAGATGTTGATAGGCCTTAATAACCCTCCAGATGTTGATAGGCCTAATAACCCTTCAAATGTTGATAGGCCTTAATAACCCTCCAGATGTTGATAGGCCTTAATAACCCTCCAAATGTTGATAGGCATTAATAACCCTCCAAATGTTGATAGGCCTGAAAACCCTCCAAATGTTGATAGGCCTTAATAACCCTCCAAATGTTGATAGGCCTTAATAACCCTCCAAATGTTGATAGGCATTAATAACCCTCCAAATGTTGATAGGCCTGAAAACCCTCAAAATGTTGATAGGCCTTAATAACTTATATACAAATTTTGCACAAACATAAAATGAGTAATTCTTTATAATCACGGGATGAATGAGAATTACATGTAAATTAAGCACGTGCTTGTATTAACAAAAACTTTAACAAACCCCATTGCATCTTCTTGTATAAAAATAAAACAAAAAAAATAATGAAATATCACTCGTATACTCAAGTGAGAATATACTAAGTATACCTCCGCCAAACATTAATTCTACCAAAACACAAGAGCAACATGTAAACTAAACTCCATGTAAACATGTAACATGTAAACATGTAAACTCCATTATAAACGAGCATTACGGCTATTCAAACTCCACAGCTGTGGCTAATAATTCTAAAGCAAAATATACTTCAGTTTGAACTAAATTCAATGAGGAAAATATGCTGACATGACGTAACTATCTGTTTCATCTGATTGTTGTCTGTATCGAGGACACTGTGAAGCAAAATATACGCAGTGTGCAGTTGCTAAATGACCAGATCAGCGGTACAACTCACCTGCTTGAGCCTCAGAGCGGCGCACACCCTCTCACTCCCAGAGCTGGCGACACACTAACCCAAGTCACGTTAGTTACTGACAGCGTTGTCAGCTCATTAAAGCATCTCAATGGTATAATTTTGACAGCAGTTTAGGCAATTAGAAGTAGACTGTAGCCTACTACAGTCTACTTATAATTGCTGACAGTACGTTAACGGAGAGGATAAATTTATGCCCAAAACGGTTTGGCATTCAAACATTTTTCCATGTGCCAAAAAATCCGCAATAATGGTAAAATTTACATAAAAATGCCAAATTGATATTAAAAGGGCAAATCTTACAATACTGGTTGCTTGTTAGTTCGGGCGCGGGTTGGACATGTATATGAGTGGGATTGGGTGGTTATAAATAGGAGCTGCCTCGTAATGGGCCAATAGGCCTTCTGCAGTTGCCTTTGTTCTTATGTTCTGCAGCCCGTTCTCCTAAGGTTTCCCAAAGTCAAGAAACTGTCATAATAGAGTGCCCTTGTCCTAACCTACCGTAGTACCTAAAAGAGAAAACGGGCCCTTCTGATAGCGTTCTTTTTATTCTTGCGTAATGTCACGACTGTTAATACAAAATAACCTTATTCTTTACTTGTAGCGATTAAAAAGTAACGTTACGAGTATAATACTTGAGTGTAAATTATCAGAATTTTTAAAATTTGAATTTTTATCTGAAACGAAAAATTAATGTTGACATTAAATGATAAACAATCGGTTTAAGCATCGGAAATCATGATAAATTACTCTCGATTCGGATTACTGAAAAATCCTCAGTTCATGCGATTCTCGATAACGATTCTGATTAATCATCCCATCACAATTAATAACACTTCAGGTATTGATATGTCTTAATAACTTCCCAGAGGTTAATAATCCAAATTAACCCTTCATAGGTTTATAGGTCTTAATATTCCTCCAGAGGTTGAAAGGCCTCAATTACCCTCGAAGGGGGGTTAATAGGTTTTAATTAGCCTCGATGGATTCGTAGGTCCTTACAGGAGTTGACACGCCTTAATTACCATCAAGGGATAATTAAGTGGTGCTGCCACCATTGATTCTGCCCTCATTGGCCCTGTCACAACTGGCTCTGGCACTCTCGAAGAGTGACAAGCTGTTGTTGCTCGTGACTGATGATGACTATGGTGGTGGTGGTGGGAATAGTAGAGTGAACTATGCCTGGCCAGGAGAAAGCAAAGCCTAGGCTTTCTCGAGATACTGAAATACTTGGGATTAGGCGTCAGGCTGTGGGTGATTGTGATAATGATGATCAGTTGATCGTGGTTGTTGATGATCAACATGATCAATTGATCATGGTAGGTTAATATTTCTATTCTTAAATTCTCAGAGTGTTTATCAGCGCTTTCTACAACTTTGTTGACATTTAGCTGACAGAAGAGCTCAGCTTGTCTTTCCTTGACAGTGTTCGCTTGAGTCCTAATATCTCATATTAAGATAAATATCTTTCGTGTGTCAAAGCTCTGTAATATTTCTGTATCCAGTTGTGCCTTATTGTCTTCTTGATCTGAAATGTTACAGCAATCAGGATGAAATGAAATCACATGGGCAGTTTGAGACATTTATTTAGCCAGTAGTAACGCTGCCGATGAAGAAGCCTATTATTGAGCCTGATCAATATAACCTTATCAGGAAATTGAATATGAATTGGTCACCAACCTCGCGAATAATTATATTTTGTTAGCTGTTTAAAAGAGGTTTGAGGAGGTTTAGAACCGATGAATTCAATGAGGAATGAAGCGAGTTTCCAGGCGTCATTTCTGAACTTGTCGAAATACATATTTGTATGGAATTATGTTCGCTATCCATGTATGAGTCGAACTACTGGGTTTACGTGTGCTCGTTAGTGTGGACAATATCGAACTAAATTCAAGTTCAAGAAAGTTTATCGAGAGAAGGGAATAACGTCCCAAAAAGGATAGAAAAGCTTAGGCTATTTCTATCCACTAATATGCTCAAGGGACCGAGGAACCTGTAATTGAAGAGGATGGAAATAGCCTAAGCTACTCGAACTAACTGAAGCATTATCCTCGAACAAAGCTTACAATTAACTATCCTCATTATTATAATTAAGAAAATTAAAATTACGCTTTCTGTGTCTGTAATCACTGTCTGTGACTATGTGTGCCTGGCACTGTGTCATCTCTGTGTCAGTAATAGGTCAATAACTCCTCCAGCCTCTTAAGTGTGAATTTGAGCTGTTCTCTATCTGTTCGGATTATCTATTTCGGATCTTGTGACGTGATGCTCAATTGTTCCACTTCACACCTCGTCTGAACGAGTTCCATCACATTGTTCCACTTCAAGCAACTTACATTGTTTCAGCATGGGACTCTATGCTTATTTTCTTTCATATTAACTTCATGACAAAGATCATATATATATATAATTAACGCTCAGAATTATTGGATGAGCAAAGTAGAGGATTTTTGTAATCAAATTTGTTGACGTTTCTAAAGTATTGCTTTCAGATGTTGTGATTACAACGAATATAAACAAAGACTTGTACACATAGTATTTGATGTATATTTTTCAGTATTCATTAACATAAAAGTGACTGAAGTCCGAAGTTGTTCAAGAGAATAGTGAAGTGCATTGTGCAAGTCTGGGTCTCCATGTTGGCGAATATATTCTATTATATTCCAGGGTATATATATTGTATTATATACCCGAATATCTTCTTTTCGGGTAAAGGTCTGCGTGTTGTGGTCGGGTAATTGTTCTATATGTTGGCGAGTATGTTGTGTAAAGGGGTCTCCATGTTGGCGATTATGTGGGGGCACCTACATATCACCTTCTACGTGTGGTTTTTTGTTCAGTAAGGTGGGTGAGAGGTGACATAGAGCTTCCGTGCTAGAAGGAGTTAAGTACGGGATGATAATAAGACAGGAGTGAAATACCTCTTCACATATTTATTACCGTACTCTAATGTGGGAGGGATACGCCTCTCTGTCTCGGAATACCTATTGGCTAAAATTGTTTTAGATTAAATAGACATAAAATAAAATCACATTTTGCAACAAATATATATATATACTCCGTGTCATCAGTTTCAATAATGTTAAATTTAATTAATACAAATAATAAATTCTGTATTAAACAAAATTAGGTTTACTACATAGAGGATATTATCCTCACTAAAGGGCGATAGAATTTATACAAAGTAAACAGTGCCCCGAAGTGAGCATAACGCTGTAATTTGCCAAGGGTGATGTGGGTGGATCTTGTGGATACTAATACAGTGATTTATTCCTACAGGAATGATAGGGGTAGCGGAATGGGGCTATATGGGAAGAGGGATATAGGTATAGGGTGAGGAAGGGATTGAAACACACCCTCTGTGAGATCCGCGAATTTAAACCGTAGATTATAATTAATTTTTTTGTGTGGTGGGGAGGTGGTTGAATTTTGTGAGCTTTGATGAACTGGAAGAGGAGGATTAGGAGGTCCGTCTTGACTACTGGGTTCACATCCGCTGCTCACGTCAGAAGGTTTAGAGGAGGTATGAAGTCTCGCTGATGTCAGCAAGTACGCACGCCATGGTACCTACAGGAAGTTAGAGGGACATCAAATGAAAGTTTGAATGGATCCATCCCGTTCGTAAATTGACGAGTTTCTTTGTTTTGTTTTGTTTTAGACCAATTAACAGATCTCTAGACGTCTTGTTTATCTGATAATACTTACATATGAACAGCAAAATAAAAATGTTACATATATAAATGCTATTTTGTCATTGTTTTAACTAATTATACTTTTAGGTGGAAAACAAATCTAAAATGTTGCAAGACAGAAGGAGAGACAAAGAGGAACCAGGAGGAACCAGAAGGAACCAGGAGGAACCAGGAGGAACCAGAAGGAACCAGGAGGAACCAGGAGGAACCAGGAGGAACCAGGAGAAGCTCACCTGAAGGAATTCATTTCTTCTCTGGACCGGGGAACCAGGCTGCACAAGCCTCCACAGCCACCTGACAGGCGGACGCCAAAGCCTTGCCCGGTTCGTACACTGCAACACCAACCTCTACATTAGTTACGATTCGTCAGGCGATTATACTTGTCCACTCACGAAACCTCTACATCTTTTCATCAATCACAGCGGTTTACTTTCCTCAAAACAAAACAAAATATATTAGGAGCTTCAAGGTCGTCGACAATGATAATAATAATAACCTTGGATGGAGAATGACCTCGCAGTGTGAGCGAGGAAAGATGTACAGGCTTCGTAATTGGACACGAAAATGTTTCATGAATTCTCTCCCAGAATTCTAAAACGTGTTGTTAATAACAGCAATAATAATAGTAATTCTCAAAACAAATCACATTTAATAATAATAATAATAAAAACAACAACAATAACTTGAACACAACTTTTCACCCATTGGGTTATTATTGTCTTGGTGGCTTGGCGCTTTCTCCTCATAGCTCCCATTGGGTCATAACCTCAGAATTAACTTACAACAAAAAGGTAAATTACAAAGATAATACGTCATGTTAGATTTCTATCCACAGGTGCAGGTCAGGTTGGGTATTGATGGTCTGTTGGCGATTATTTGCACTTGAAGCACGTGGGTGAAGCATTTCCAGAGTTGCTATCCGAACAGAGGTCGTCAGCGAAGCACAACTGGAGAAATATTCGAAAGTGATCAGTCATGAGTCGTGTGTCCCCGTTTCTCAGTCATCAACAAGAGGCTTTTGCGGCTAAATTAACTAGCGTTTGGCTTTTGTTGATGAGGACGGGCTCATGTTCTCTGTGTAGGTGACTTGTTGAGATGCAATTCGAAACAGAGGACTGTTCGAGAGGAGTTGGAGCATCATAAGTTGTAGCAGCCCGTCCTTCAAACAAAGACCCAACAGTGATTCCATACAGCCGCCAACCCCCCCCCCCCCCTCCCTGTTTATGAATGAAAAACGGTTTACACACGACTCACAACTGATTTCGTTCGAACACTTCCAGAACAAGTGCTTCACTGACGAATTTTGTTCGAACCACAAAGTTGTAAATGCAGCCCGTCCTCCAAACAAAGATCCAAAAGTGATTCCATACACCCGCCAAACCCCCTGTTTATGAATGAAAAGCGATTTACACACGACTCACAACTGCTGAAGTTCGAACATATCCGGAACAAGTGCTTCACTGACGAATTTTGTTCGAATCACAACGTTGTAAATGCTTCACCCACGTACTACAAATACAAATAATCGCCAACAGAACCTAAACACCTAACCTAACCTATGCCTATATATATGCATAATATGTAAATATATTATAATATTAATTTGTATTTGAGAAAATCCCCGTTTTAAATGAACAGCATGTGAAAATTTATGAATGCGTCTGTGGGGTCGGCCGCTGGATGTAATGGACTTGAGTCGAGGACGGGTTATCAAAAACAAATAATGGCCAACAGAACCTAAACACCTAACCTAACCTACGCCTAACTAAACATATAATTTTGATGTAAAATAATACTAATTTCTAAATGAGAACAAATAAATGTTTAATACACAGCATGTTAGAATTGATGAATGCGTCTGGGGAGGACGGCCGCTGCTTTAAACAACCTAGTGTGAGAACAGGTTGTACAAATTGATTAAAAATCGAAACTCTGAAAGTTTTCTCCCTGAAATCCTGAAATCAGAGTTGTCACCCTCAAAACTGTCACCGTCAAAGCTGTCACCCCTCAAAGCTGTCACCCCTCAAAACTGTCACCCCTCAAAACTGTCACCCCTCAAAACTGTCACCCCTCAAAGCTGTCACCCCTCAAAGCTGTCACCCCTCGAAACTGTCACCCCTCAAAGCTGTCACCCCTCAAAGCTGTCACCCCTCAAAGCTGTCACCCCTCAAAGCTGTCACCCCTCGAAACTGTCACCCCTGAAAGCTGTCACCCCTGAAAGCTGTCACCCCTCAAAACTGTCACCCCTGAAAGCTGTCACCCCTGAAAGCTGTCACCCCTCAAAACTGTCACCCCTCAAAGCTGTCACCCCTCAAAGCTGTCACCCCTCGAAACTGTCACCCCTCAAAGCTGTCACCCCTCAAAACTGTCACCCCTCAAAGCTGTCACCCCTGAAAGCTGTCACCCCTCAAAACTGTCACCCCTCAAAGCTGTCACCCCTCAAAGCTGTCACCCCTCGAAACTGTCACCCCTCAAAGCTGTCACCCCTCAAAACTGTCACCCCTCAAAGCTGTCACCCCTGAAAGCTGTCACCCCTCAAAACTGTCACCCCTCAAAGCTGTCACCCCTCAAAGCTGTCACCCCTCGAAACTGTCACCCCTCAAAGCTGTCACCCCTCAAAACTGTCACCCCTCAAAGCTGTCACCCCTCAAAGCTGTCACCCCTCAAAACTGTCACCCCTCAAAGCTGTCACCCCTCAAAGCTGTCACCCCCTCGAAACTGTCACCACTCAAAGCTGTCACCCCTCGAAACTGTCACCCCTCAAAGCTGTCACCCCTCAAAGCTATCACCCCTCGAAACTGCCATAACCTCGAAGCTGACGTATTTAAAGACAACGCCCCCCCCCCCCCTTTTTGTTAACTTTACAAGAACAAGACCTCAAAGCTGACTTCCATAATGACAACACCCACTCAGCAGACACCTTCAGGACTTCAGCAGAGCACCATCATCATCTTCCCCTCCACCTTCCACCCTGAGAGGGAAGGCCAATCAGACAACACCTCTTTTTTTCCGAGTCGTCGGTTTATCCAATCATAAGCCGAAGCTTCCCCTCATAAACCGGCCAATCAACGACCAGTTTTCCACCTCAGCTCGTCCAATTGAGAGCGAGATGGAGTGATCCTTCCCGTGACGCCGCTCGCGTGTAAACAATATCACCTTCTTCAATCTCCTAACTTCGTGCGACCTTGAAATACCATTTTTGTGAGAATGATGAGGCAATTTGTTGCATGGGGGGGTTTGTGTCATCATTTTCTCTCTATAGTGAGGATACAGGGAGAGAGAGAGAGAGAGAGAGAGAGAGAGAGAGAGAGAGAGAGAGAGAGAGAGAGAGAGAGAGAGAGAGAGAGAGAGAGAGAGAGAGAGAGAGAGAGAGACTGTGGATTTAAGAATAAATAAAGTCTGTAGAACTGAAGCGAAGAGATCGATAACACGAGCACTGAAGAACAAGACAAAAAACATAACACTCGGATATTTAAGAACAAGAAAATATCGGATCTGAGAACAAACACAACAAATACAAAATAATGAAGCAACATAAATATATCATTTTCCACGCTGGACAACAAGAGTATAGACAACAAACAAAGCCGGATAAATAACAAACTTTAAAAACCCAAAACCAAAAATTAAAAATGCGTATCAACTAGAGCGACGACGACGGACGCGGGAGACTTACAGGAGTCGCCGCCAGCTCTCTTGCCGAAGATGGATCCGTTGAAGGGGGGCTTCCTGTAGCCGGCGCTGACGGGGTCGCTCAGCACAGCCAGGACCACCAGCACCACGGCCACCGCCACCAACATCCGCGTCTGTACACACATCCTGCAGAGGGCGAGACAGAGAGATAGTTCTGAGTACCGCTGGAGTGACGAGGGGAAAAATAAACATGTTTTAGCAGTCTCGAGACTGAGGTAAAGATTAAGGTAGTCTCAGTAGCTTGATTAAGGTTGTCACAGTGCTAAGAACAATTGTGTCAGAGACAGGGCAGCCTTCTCGATCTTTTGGAACGCCATATTATATATATAGACTGGAAAACTTGCCTCTCATTACCATAAAATGATGCATGGATGCATCTAATGCAGCAGAGAAGGCAGAGCAATAGATGGATTATAAAGGTGAGCTTGACATGCTTATAATAATATCTTTTATCGACTTTGTGTCACAGAGATTACCGGGGATTGAACCTCGGTCTGTCAGCTCTGCAAGTCCCCCCTTTTGTGATCCTCACACCAGCATCTGTATTCGTAAGGGTGGAGGGTAGTACAGGCAAGACCTGTAACTGAAGTGTGATTTTTTCGACTGTAATGTTCATCCGTGAGGGTATTTGGTAGCTGAAGCGCCCACCTGACGGGCCGGTCTATTCATGATAAGAGACCCAGCGGACGCCTAAGAGACTCGCTGGCTCGCTGGCAGCCAATCAGGAAGCAGCTGAGGTGTTTGTAAACACACGCAGGCGAGAGGTAAACATTGCGGGGAACTTTCTGGGGGACATTGAAGTCGCTTGTCTACCTGTTTTTCCCCTTGACAGGCTTTTTCCCCCTCCTCACACAACTTCCTTCCGCTCTGTTTTCTGCATTTTTTACTTTTACGTTTTTTGTTTACCATTTGCTTTTATTCTGATCTGCTTTTTTACATTCTTCCTCCCTCTCTACTTTCCTGTCTCTCTCCCTCACTACATCCCTCCCTAAATCCCTGCGTATCTCCCTCCCTATAATTCCCTGCCTCTCTCCCTCACTATATTTCCCGCAACTCGCCTAATCTTCCTCAATACACCTGGTGATTTGGGAAATAACTAGCACAAGCCCCAAGTAACTTTTCGTGGATTTAGCTCTCAGGAAAGAGCAGAGATGCCCACTATTGGTGCAGAAACTAGGAGTTGCTTTCACAGACGGCGACCGTCTGAGATACGGAGATATATGAAAGGCACTATTTCCTTCAGAGTCACCATAGATTGTTGACCAGACCACACACTAGAAGTTGAAGGGACGACGACGTTTCGGTCCGTCCTGGACCATTCTCAAGTCGATTCAAGTCACATACTTCAGCCACGTTATTGTGACTCATCGCCTTCACCATAGATTCCAGCCATCAGCCAGATCACCGCCACAATGACCATCCTGGCCTCCCCAGTTAGCCATTGGCACCTAGGCTATGGCATGATCATTGGTAAAATCTTGTTTTTAGCCACCAGCACTTCATACACAGCCATTAAGGCCACCACCACAACCACCCACACATCCACCTACACACAACCACCCACGTCAACAACACAGGTTAACCAACTTCCTCGTCCTAAGAATGCTGTAGCTGGTAGCAAGGAAGAAAAGCTGTTGTGGGGAGGGGTTGTGGGGTGGTGGGGAGGGATGGTTGTGTGTGGGGGAAGGGGGTGAACGGGAGGGGTAGGAGCTGGGCCACCTGTGGGGTAGGGAGAGAGGAGAGGAGAGTGTGACAGTGATAAACGTGCAGGAGTTAGACATGTGTGGCGGCTGGATCATGGGATGGACGCACACACCTGTACCCGGGGAAGCCGAGGGGGAGAAGTGAGAGAGAGAGGGCAAAGAGAATTAAAAAAAAAAGGTAAGGGAGATACGTCGACCAAGAGAAAATGAGATAAATTTAGAAATGATGAGAGAGAGAGAGAGAGAGAGAGAGAGAGAGAGAGAGAGAGAGAGAGAGAGAGAGAGAGAGAGAGAGAGAGAGAGAGAGAGAGAGAGAGAGAGAGAGAGAGAGAGAGAGAGAGAGAGAGAGAGAGAGAGAGAGAGAGTCAGTAGCTATCCACTGCTAATACCACTCCTCCACCTACTGGACTCATCAGTGGTGAATTTCCACCATCATCCAATGGTATTATCATTGGATAGTCATTGGGGTTAAATTCCCTGACTTATATGTATGTTATATATGTTATATACATATATATGGGAGGATCCATTCATCCTTCCCTCCAACTCTTCTACCATCTATTTCTTCCTAATACCCAACCCCACAGGAATTAATCACATTAGATTAGCTGGCCACAGACGAGACAGACGCATCATTGGTTCATTGACCTTATGACTGCTGATGGAAAGGCCGACCTAAGTGCCAAAACGTGGCCATCAGGGGCATTACAAGTATTACAAGTCTAGTATCACGAGACGTTATACTAGATAAGGCCTAAAATATGTTATTCGGATATCGTTATATTTCATTTTGCTTCCTCTCCAACCGTTTCGACAAGGCGATAGAAACACAGCGTTACCCTCTTAAAAAAATCGTTTTCTGTACTCGTATTTTTTCATTTTCTCTATTAGTTTTTATAAATCAATGGATAACTTCGTTAAAGCACTTTTCAAATTTGTGTATAAGAGTGAGGATTGTATTGACGTAAGCGCCTCTAGCGGCCGGAAAAGGCGTCGCGATGTGAGGATTTAGTTTATATAATATTATGTACCTACTCTTCCGCACGAATGAGACTATTGTGATGTATTATTAATTAATAATAACTCATTGTGTCGGGGAGACAGGCAGGCTGAGTGTATTCACACATACACGTCCGGCCCACCCGGGATTCGAACCCGAAATTCTCGATTATGAGTCGAACGAACTCCTCCCTTCCCTGCCTATACTACCGGAACACCCCGCATCTCACCAAGCGTTGGATTGTTCACCCACCAATAGGGAACGTGAGCTGGGTTTAGACCGTCGTGAGACAGGTTAGTTTTACCCTACTGTCTCCAATCCTCCTGCTTGCTCCCGTGGCAAGCAGGAGGTGTGAGGGGGAGAGCAGGGCTCCGTCACGAGGCAATTACCAGCCTCCTGCAGGTGTCCAGGACCTGACGCTGATGACGATCCTAACCTTACGGTGACGTCCCAAGCACTCTCTTAAATTAGTCGGGGGGGAACAGTATATATGTGCATTATACACAATATATTATATACATATATATATATATGCGGAAAAACCACAAAGAAATTGGAAAGAGAGGTGAACGTTTCGGCCTGTTAGAGCCTTTGTCAACACCGTCAGTCTGGTGTTGACAAAGGCTCTAACAGGCCGAAACGTTCACCTCTCTTTCCCATTTCTTTGTGGTTTTTCCGCTTACAAATGATCAGTGTTTAGTGATCGTCAATTGCATATATATATATACATATATATATATATATATATATATATATATATATATATATATATATATATATATATATATATATATATATATATATATATATATATATATATATATATATATATATACATAACATAGAAGATATATGTTGTATCAATGGCTCTGAATATCACAATATTAAAGTTGCCGGAGAGTGAAGATGAGAGAGAAGACGTGACAGTATAAGGGAACTGGAACAGCGGGAGAGAAGGTCACGGGAAGGGTGGAACGAGGGGAAAGGGAGACTGAGAGGAAAGGAGATATTGAAAAGCGGCTGTGAGCAAATTGAAATGAAAATTGGAGCACGATTGATGACCTGCACTCAGGGTATATATATATATATATATATATATATATATATATATATATATATATATATATATATATATATATATATATATATATATATATATATATATATATATATATGGAAATATGTACCCTGCTGATGCTGCTGCTGTTCACAGTACGTATCTAGGGAATGAAGTGGCGCTGAACGAACTCATTGGAAGAAATATAGTTATTATATAGGACTTTTAAACGACATATTATGAAGGCAAACAAGGGGAAATTAACGACTTTCGACTTGACAAGACACTCAACTTGAGAATGGTCCAGGACGGACCGAAACGTCGTCGTCCCTTCACCTTCTAGTGTGTGGTCTGGTCAACACGGGGAAATTAATATTTAAGACTTAGTTTCTTCCCGTTAGCAAACAATAATACACGATATAGAAACATCGGGCAAGCTATGGGAGAAGCGATCACAAGAAAATCAGATTTAACATAGGAGAGAAAAGTAGTGTGAGAGAAAACTCGCTGATTTTGAGGAAATGAGTCGCGTCTTCAGAAAGATAGATTGGTCCAGGATCAGGATACGAGACGGGCTGACCGAGTGATAGAGTGTCGTACGTGTGTACTAGTAGTGTACTGTGTGTGTACTAGTAGTGTACTGTGTGTGTACTAGTAGTGTACTGTGTGTGTACTAGTAGTGTACTGTGTGTGTACTAGTAGTGTACTGTGTGTGTACTAGTAGTGTACTGTGAGTACTAGCAGTGTACTGTGAGTACTAGCAGTGTACTGTGAGTACTAGTAGTGTACTGTGAGTACTAGCAGTGTACTGTGAGTACTAGCAGTGTACTGTGAGTACTAGTAGTGTACTGTGTGTGTACTAGTAGTGTACTGTGTGTGTACTAGTAGTGTACTAATGTATAATATTCGACAATAGTATACAATACTCGACCTAATATTGATTGGGTCGATTAACAAACCCAAAATGGATAACCGTTGCACTAAGGAGCGGAAAAACGAATTGCATGTACCCATGAATTAAGAAAGGGAAAGTCTATTTAGTCGTGGGATCTCTTTTGATTGTTTCAAGCGTAGGTTAGACATTTATTTAAATGAGATTGGGTAAATACAATGAGGAGCGGCCTCATTATTAAGCCAATAATTTTTTTAGTTCTGCAATTTAATTTATTAATTTGTTCTTTATGCTTAAGACTAAAGTATACTTGGCTTATCAGACACCCAACCAACACGTCTGAAAATGAAGGGAGTGACGATGTTTCGGGTCCGTCTTGGACACGTGTGACGACGTTTCCGTCCGTCTTGGACACGTGAGGTGACGTTTCGATCCGTCTTGGACACGTGAGGCGACGTTTTGCTATTTGTGTCTACAAAATCGAGCTATTTGCTTTT